GTTTAGGGTTTAAGGGTTTTTACGTTTTAAGGTTTAGTTAGGGTTTAGGGTTTACGATTTAGGGTTTAGGGCGTAGGGTTTAAGGTGTTTTTAAGGTTTAGGGCTGAGGGTCTAGTTAGGGTTTAAGGTTTAGGGTTTAGGGCTTTGGGTTTAGGGTTTAAGGTTTAGGGTTTAGGCTTAGGGTTTAGGGCTTAGGGTTTAAGATTTACTTAGGGTTTAGGGTTTAAGGTTTAGGGTTTAGGGTTTAGTTAGGGTATAAGGTTTAGGGTTTAGGGTTTAGGGTTTACGGCTTAGGGCTTTGAGTTTAGGGTTTAGGGTTTAGGGCTTAGGGTTTAACATTTAGTTCGGTTTTAGGGTTAGGGCTTTAAGGTTTAGGGCTTAGGGTTTAAGCTTTAGTTCGGGTTTAGGGGTTAAGGTTTAGAGCTTAGGGCTTAGGGTTTAGGGGCTTCAAGGAGGCGGGGGAAGAGCAGCGCTAGCCATTAAGGCCCCCCTGCGGCTTTTGCCCCTACACCCTGAACCCCTAAACCCCAAACCCCCAAACCCCTAAACCCCTATATCAAGCCTAAACCCACAAAAAAAGCCTAAGCTCTAAACCCTGAACCCCAAACCCCTAAACCCCTATATCAACCCTAAGCCCACCAAAATCCTTAAGCCCTAAACCCCGAACCCCTAAACGACGAAACCCTCCAGGCTCTGGGGATCAGGGTTTCCGTCCGGCCTAAACCCTAAACCCTCGACCCTAGACCCTAAACCCTAAACCCTAAACCCTAAACCCTAAACCCTAAACCCTAGACCCTAAACCCTAAACCCTAAACCCTAAACCCTAGACCCTAAACCCTCCGGCCTGGATCTCCGGCAAAATTTGCCAAAGCAGGGCGGCTGCCACTCCCCAGATGCCCAAGGAGCTGAGGTTTGCGTAGAAGAGATCCTTAGGGCTTAGGGTTTAGGGTTTATTGTTTAGGGTTTAGGGTTTAGGGTTTAGGGCTTAGGGTTTAGAGTTTCCAGGCGTTATCTTTAGGAGTTTCAGGGTTTAGGGTTTGGAGTTTTCAGGCCTTCAGGAGTTTAAGGGTTTAGGGTATACCAGGACCCTGAGAAACCCACATGTTCAGGGCTCCTTATTGCCGTTCCCTTGCAGGGGTGGTGGAAAAGGGAAGTAATTGGGGTTGAAGTAGGCTTCAGGGGTTTAGGCTGGCTTTTGGCTTTTGCCCTAAACCCTAAACCCTAAACCGTCAAGGTTAAGGGTTGTTTCGGGTCCCTGCACGGAAGGAGGGACAAAGGCTCGATGTTGTACCCTCCCGCTCGAGACTCTTAGGACAATCAAACCACAAAATGCAAAAGGCATGCCTAGCTTGGGTTTAGGGTTAAGGGTTTAGGGTTTCGGGTTTAGGGTCTAGGCTTGGGTACTGCTCCCATACAGTACCAGTCTATAACGGGGGTACCAAGGGCTACTATTAAGGGCCTCATATATCAATGTTGAGGATATGGTGCAACCGATACTGAGAGGGGGCAGTATCCAATCACTAGCAGCACCAGCACTGGTCAAGGATCAGGAATAAGCCGCTGAAGTATGTTCAGGTCAATAATTGTACTCAGCAGGAATAAAGCGACTGCGACGACCACAATTCCACAGGAAACCAAGATATCCACATGAACAGTGCAACAGCGCGCTCGCAGGGAGTAGGTCAAGCGGAGGCATAGCTTCATGATGAACGGGACGATGGCCAGCCACCGCGCGCAATCCTTTGCTAGCTCGGCCGATTGCAAGTGCATGTTCTCTCGAGTCGCCATGACATCGAGCCCCAACCAAAGGATGGGAGCTGACGCCTGCACCATTTCAAAGTAGGTGATGGAGTTGTTGCGAAGACGGTTGGCAAGTAACTTCCGTTCTTCGGACTGCACACGCTCCTCGAAGATGGATATGGAACCAAACCACGCTCTGATACACGCAGCAATGATCCTGCGGTCACATGTGAGCTTATTGCACTCCGTGCCTGCATCGCAGCAAGAACAGAGGCTCCGAGCGATGGAGAACTGACCGGCTTGCTTTTCCTTAGTTGCTGAATTCATAACCCCGCCCCCAAAGCGTAAACTCTCAGTTCTATAAAGGGGTGATCTTAATATACAAAGGGTAAGGTGCACTCATTCAGAAGCCCCAAACAGGTGTAAACTTGCACATCTGCAAGGGTGTAATTTTATCATATCCCAAAAGTGTAAGGTGTACTTGCAGATCTACAAGGGTGTAATTTTATCACATTAAATGTACAGTGCACTCGTTCAGCTGCAAAGTTTCCATCATGTCAACGTCACGCCAATATGCTCGCACGGTATGTCCCGCCCAGCAAAGACAGACGAAGGCAGCAACACCCAGGACTTTCAGCCCGCCGAAAAACACTGCTGGCCAGTAGACCAGCATGAGTAGAAGCATGCCGAAATGAATTCCCAGGCGGATGGGACCCAACAATGGCGGGCAAACCATAATCTTTGCTTTGCTTTCGGCTGGTCGGCTATGTAGAAAAGCCGCAAGCTCGAACATGCACCAGAGTCCTTGGACACTGCGCAGGAGTTTTACATTCTTGTTTGTGACAGGAACACCCGGTACCAGATTTGATAAATTACACTTTGAGGCTCGCGGTAGATAGCCACGGCAGCAAAAGAGCCGATAGAACGCTGATAGATCCAGAACAGGGTTTAGGGGTTTAGGGTTTAGGGTTTAAGGTTTAGGGTTTAGGGTTTAGGGTTTAGGGTTAACACCTTTCTTTGCAACCTCGAAAGGAACCCAAATTTTGCTGAAGCATTCTTAAGGCCTATAACCCCACAGCCTAAACACTAAACCCTCAATCCGGTACGCTCAACCCTAAATCCGATACCCTAAACCGCGCCCAGAGTCGCGTTGCGTACGTTGCGTCCCACATCACCGACATGGACTTCGACGCCTTCAGAATTGCTCCCAGGCTCCCTATGCCCTGGGCCTTGAGCTCCCGGTCCTAAGTGTTTAGGGTTTTTGGGGTTTAGGGCTTAGGATTGAGGGTCTAGGGTTTAGGGTTTTTAGGGCTTAGGGTTTAAGGTTTGGGGTTCTAGTATAAGGGCTGCTATTATGGATCTTCAAGTGTACTATTAGGGGTTTAGGGTGTTTCGGGATTTAGGGTGTTTAGGGTTTAGGGTTTTAGGGTTTCAGTGTAGAGAGTTTCGACAGCCCCCCAAGGTTCATGTAGTTATGGCGTTGCATGAAAGTTTAGGGTTTAGGGATTGCCACCCGGTGTCGGTTTGGTTTATGCACGCCAAGTCCAGAAACACGACGCGAGTTTGCCTCCACAGCAGCAATGTGCTGTAGTAAACCAGACTTCCCAGAAGCACGCACCATGCAGCTCCGAACGTTTCCCTGGGGTGCAAAATCTCCAGGCGAGCCAGCAATGTCGCAACCATCACACTGAGCATACTCAGCACGAACCTTGCTCTTGGTGAAGTACTGTAAAAAAGGTACCTTCTTCGTTTGTACGGTTTACAAGGTTTCTGTATAAGTATAGAATGCACATCTACACAAGCACACGTACATGTGTTTTGAACACAGGAGACGAAGTGGTGCCTCGACAACCCTTAAGAAAAGGCTTGGAAGTCTGTATATTCATCTGTACATACCCCAAACCCAAACCCTAAACCCTAAACCCTAAACACCAAACCCCAAACCCTAAACCCTAAACCCTAAACACCAAACCCCAAACCCCAAACCCTAAACCCTAAACCCCCAAACCCCAAACCCTAAACCCTAAACCCTAAACCCTGAACCCTAAACCCCAAGCTTCAAAACACATGCGACATGATGAGCCCTTAGACTTCCTCTGACTGTAGCATGATGTGCCCCCATACCCTACCCGGGTTTAGGGTTTAGGGCTTAGGGTTTAGGGTTTAGGGTTTCTATTCCAACAATTGAGGGAATCGATTGGGATGGGGTTTTGTTGTATACGAATTAAACTTCAATTATAATAAGGGTTCCCCCCAAAAAAAAGTAATTGGTAGTTCTTCAGGCCGCTATAGCGTTAAGGCTTCATTGGCACACCCTAAACCCCTAAACCGTCAAGAAACGCAGGCACGCCATTTGTCCGCATCAGGACGTTGATACATTTGGAGCGTGCTGAGGCCTGCCAGGAATGGGACCAAAACTCGTCGAACTCGGTCACCACCTCACTGCGATAGTGCCTTGCAAGACATAAGGGTAGTTGTCAAAATTATGTTCCCTTTGGGGGATCCCCTAAAATAATAGGTGCCGTATTATAATAAGGACCCAAAAAGGGACCATGATTTTGACAACCGCCCATAAAGTTAAAGTTCTGGGTTAGGGTTTAGGGTTGAGCTTTATGATGCGTAGGGTTTCGGGCAGTCCTCAGGCAGAACGCCTTGACTGTTGAGAGGCCAGAAGGAAGACTACAAAGGGTTACAGGCTGCCGACTGGACCAGGGTTGAACGGACAGGGCCCTCTAAATCCTGCACTTTAGCCCTACAGGCGACCCTAAACCCGAAACCCTAAACCCTAAACCCCTAAACCCTAAGCACCTCAACCCAACATCCTGGTCCTTAAGTCAAGAACCCATCTAAGAAGGTACTTTAACCGATCTGCCTACTGTTTACTACGAAACCTCTAAGAGGAACAGCCCTGCACCCTCTAATATGTTTGGGTCTGGGGTGTGGGGCCCTACGAAAGGATGTTCAGGGTTTAGGGTTTGGGGTCACCTGTAAGCATCTCCTTGATGCGCTATGCAACCCTCTCTATGATGGGACATCTAAGAGATCAGAACCAAACTTACTTGTCTAGAGCTGCTTGCTAGCCTTTCAGAACATATTTGGGTAGTTCTCTATTTTTAGGGTCCCTTTTTAGGTCACCAATATAGTGTGGCGCCCTTACAAAAAGGACCGTACAAGGCACCCTACCTTAGAAAACCTCCCATATACTATCCTTAAGGACTGAATGACCCTTAAAAGTAGGGGCCCTATACCCTTAGATTATGAACCCCTATATGATGTATGAACCCTAAACCCTAAACCCTTAAACCCTAAACCCTAAACCCTTTTAGGGTTCTTTTCGTCCTTAAGGATAGGGATTCGAATACCCCCAATGAGGCGGAAGGCTGCCGACTCAAGGAAGCAAAACCGCAACTTTGGGCCCTTAAAGCCCTAAACGCCTGAACCCTGAACCCCTAAACCCCTGAACCCTAAACCCCTAAACCCTAAGCCCCTAAACTTCCAAACCCTGCAAAAACATAATCTTTACCTAAAACCCTAAACCCTAAACCCTGGCTAGGTGCAGTCTCTGCAGCTCCCCTTTCAGCCAGTAGATTGGCGCAAGCCTGGGATCTTGAATCCGTTACAGTTTAGGGTTCAGGGTTTAGAGTTTAGGGTTTAGGATTTGGGGTTTAGGGTTCTACCCTCTCATTAAGGCATCGTAACCTACTATTTCGTAGGGTTGGGGGTCACAGGTAGGGTCTAGAGCGGCCCAGCCTGCTAGAAGGATAACGGGTAGTTGGGGTCAGGAGACCCCTCTTAGAAGTTGCACAGGTAGATGTCAGCATATCTACAGAATAGTAACCTTGTAATTAAGCATGACACGTGATCATCCACGCTTCTTTGCATGGCACCTTCTACGAACGTGAGGAAAGCGTATTGGTTGGCCAAAGTACGCCCACATGACATTCAGACTAAAGCCAACTTCCGCAAAACCCTGTAAAGCATCGAACAGTTGCAACTCCCCTAAACCCTAAACCCTAAACCCTCAACCCTCAACCCTCAACCCTAAACCCTAAACCCTAAACCTTAAACCCTAAACCCTAAACCCTAAACCTTAAGCCCTAAACCCTAAACCCAACAGCTGCAACTCTTCTATAGACGCCACTGAAACCTGTTCATAGCCTTGAAGCCTGATGTGTTGAAAACCCCCAAGCCCTGAACCCTTGTACGGCTCTTCTGTGAATCAAGCATCCAGAACCGAACACCCTAAACTCCTATTAGGGTTTAGGGTTTAAGGTTTAGGGTTTAGGGTTTATACTGTCTTGGGATGAACAACCTAAACCCCGATTCACAAACAATTGGAAAGCCTTCTGCCTGAAGAAACACCCCAAACCCGAAACCCTTAACCCTTACAAAGCCCTAAACCCTAAACCCGAAACCCTAAACCTTAAACCCTAAACCAAACCCTAAACCCTAAGCGCCAAGAAGCCGTACCAACCGGAAAAGAGGAATCCCCCGCACGACCTCCGGACTTGCAGCGGCCATGGATGCTACGAAGCGACAGCAGCTTTCCTCGAAGGACCTGCTTGGAGGAAGGAGTAGTTATAACATAAGTGGGGTTTAGGGTTTAGGGTTTAGGCTTTCCTCGTAGGACCTGCTTGGAGGGGTTTAGGGTTTAGGGTTTCGGGTTGAGGGCCTATAAGTATAGGACAACCATTATTATCAACTCAGCTCTTGCATTCCTGAAGGGAAGATCAACAAGCCTTCTGCTTTGGGGGGGGTACTTGAAGGACTTTTCACCCAGTGAAGGTACATACTGTTGATGGACAAAACCCTGCATGACCCACATATAGTATAGTACCATAAATCCCATAGTTTAGGTATATAAGGTAATGCAGGATTTTGTCCATCAACAGCATAACCCTACTTTCTATGTCCCATGATCCTCTGAGTATACCCTGAGCTGAGGGTGCCACAAGCTACAATCTTGTAAATCATTTCCCTTACCTGGACCCCCAAATAACCTACCTGCCTCTTAGGCTTTCCCATTTAAGGTCATTATGGTTTCTGCAAAAAAATCCCTAGACCCAGAACCCTAAGCCGATTATTTGGAGTTAAAGTAAATCCTGAACTCCGTTTTCAGGTTCTCTAAAATGACCTTCTATGTAGAAACCTTCCTTCTGGCCCAGATGATTCCGGCTGAAACACGGGCTTGGGGTTCAGGGTTTAGGGGTTTGGGAGCTTAGGGCTTAGGGCCTTAGGGGTTTAGGGCTTTGGGTTTCGGGGCGGGTTAGGGATTAAGGGCGCTGGGCCTCTTGGGTGCTTTGGCAGGATTGAGTCAAGGTCGGACATAAAGGCATCGTCAGCAGAAATGCAGTGAGCTGAAGCCCTAAACCCTAAACCCCTAAACCCTAAACCCTAAACCATAGTGGCACAAACATTCACAGCAAGCAGAGGATGTCAGCACTGTAAGGGTGCGAGAAGAAAAGCTTGTTGGTGGCAGAACGACTGCAATATAGGGGTCTGAAAAATTAGAATAGGGTTTTGCGGCCACTTATACTAGACTTATAATGAGGAATCACCAAATAGTATTGGTAATTCTCTAGGCCCCTATATGAATCGAAGTGACAGCCAAGACAAATAAACCATTAAGAAGCAAAACTCTGAAACCCGAAGAGCCCGAACCCTAAAGTAGGGGCCTTTATAATTAGAATAGGGCTTTGGGATATATAAGCGTATAGGTATTATAAGAAGGAACCCCAAGGTAGTAATTATTTAGGCCCCTATATCGAACCCTGAACCCCTGAACAGCAAAAC